GTAGGGGGGGGAGGCGACAAGGGTGGAGGGAAATGGAGAAGCGTGGAAAGGGGACAGAAGGGCAGAAACCTGGGCGAAACGGTGGCTGAAGAGGAAGAAACTTGGCGAGGGATCAGGGGAGGAAGGTACTGTATGGTAGGAGTAGGGTGAACACTACACTTGTAACCGAGCCAGTGAGAGGGGACGAGAACCAGGTACAGAGACAGGGAGGGAAAATGAGGAGGTGGAAGATGGGCAGGAAGTGTTAACGACCTTTTTTTGAATGAATGAGAAGTAGAGGGACGATTGGGGAGAGGAGCGTGTATACGAGATATTGCCTATACTGAGGCTTGATGAGGCGAGACACTGAAGGAAGAGAGATCACGACTGAGAACGTGAAGTAGGGATGTCATGAGCCGGAGGGACAGCAAAGAATTAGCTACAGGAGTGACTATGGAGAGGTTAAACCACCAGAGGTGGGTTGCAGCAAGATTGAGGATACCAGAAGGGGGGGGACGTTTTGAAACACGGGGAATAAGAAACCACGAGGTAGTCTCCCTTGGGGGGCAGAGATGAGAAACTGCCTTGCATAAGGAGAGACCTTTGAGGCGGTAAGGATTCCCGCTCGTTTAAGTAGACTTGACAACGGCGAGAGTATGAAGGGTGTTGAGCACTCATGAAAAATAAGGCAAGAGGAGAGGGCGATTGGCAAGACATATTAGAATGGTCGATCGGCACCACAGACTGGGGCATTCGGCGTTAGATCTGCAATATTTTGTGGATGGCCCAAATCGCCAGCAATTTCTACACTGTTGCAGGTTTTGGGATCACCTTTCGAACTTTTTTAAACCGATGTCCTGCTATATAAACTGAGGATGGGAGTTCACGGCTGTCAAAAGTTAAAACGAGCCACATTGCTAGGGTATCGTCTCCGCCCGCGGGCAGAAAGAACATAAGTGTCTACCTTGAGGATTGGGAGATCTTGGAGTTCCAGCTGTTCAAGAATGTCAGTGCCACATGTCTGGAAATTTTGTTGAGCTATGGTATGGGGCAGAATGACGGTACCACTACAAGAATTGAGGGAATGATGCTTTTCAATAGTTCAGGAACAGTATCGTATGGGAAAGCCCGAGGAAAGCTCATGAGCCGGGTAGCATTCTGTACGGTGACGATGCGCGTACCGCTCTTGAGAGCATGAAAAGAAATATCTTTACCAACATGGCGTAGGAGTGCCTTGCCAATACTGTGGTCAGAAATAGGCAGTAGAGGAAGTCGGTCATAAAGTGAAGAATTTATTCCATTGTGCAGTCTGAAAAATGAGCGGTGGAAAGGTAGTGAAGGACATGTCGATCTTTTCTGAGAAGCACGAAAGGTGGAGAAGTATCATCAGCAGGTAATTGTCGTTGGCGTTTAGGCGTGGGACCAGGTTGGTCCGACGTGGAACGGGCCGGCGAATTCGAAAATTGCCGCACCGGAGAGGGAGAGGCCGGAAGATAGTCAGAGGAGAGCGAAGGTCAGATAAATCGAAGGAGTCAGTCGGGGGCTCAGTACCCGAAGCGGGTGAGGAAACAGCACTGGCGAGAGGGCCCGAGGCATGAGGAGTTTTCCGAACAGTGGTCCAAAGACGAGGCGGGGTCAGAACGGGGTGCGGTAAACAAGAAGGGGCCCGGGGGTAGCAGGTTCATGGACTAGGGCTGCCCATGGTTAGGTTACTTCTTTTTTTTTGTTTTTAAGAAAAAAAAAGAAAGAAGAAAAGAAAAGAAAAATAAAAAAAGAATAAAAAAAGGGGGGACCGGGGAGGGATAGTTCCTAGGAGGAATGAAAGGGCCAGAAATCTCCCTCCACGCCAGAGGCCTCAGCACCGCAAGTAGCGCAGATGCAGCATGGAACCCGTGCCATACCCTACCCGTCATGCCAGTAAACCGGCAATCCGGGGATAGCAACCTCACATCTGCCGAGCTACCTCGGTGGACAAAAGAGGGGGGCGGAAATCCGGCACAAAGCATACCTCCTTCGGCCACCACCCTCAGAATCCGAAAGGTGGCTTCCAGAGATACACCCGTCGCCCGAGAGACACCAAAAGCCACCCTCCGGGATACCCGGGGGATCAGGACTCCCCCGGCAATCCCGATTCCGGCAAACTAGCCACCGCCAAAACCCGAAAGAATGGGTGGCCCGGTACCCTTTTCCCCACCTGGAATAGCGTGCCTGTGGGGAAAAAAAAAAAAAAAAAAAAAAAAA